AAATGGCATTTAATAGACTCTCTAGACGTACAATCCAATCCCAATGTAAAGGTTTTGGACTTGAAAGCATGTGAGAAAATTAAAACAGAGCTTACACTAAACGAGCATGATGGAATTATATTACGAGGCTCGCGAATTGTGCTTCCAGAAAGCCTTAGACTAAAGGCTGTTCAAATTGCTCATGAAGGCCACCAAGGGCTAGTAAAAACTAAACAGTTGTTGCGAGAAAAGGTTTGGTATCCCGGTATAGACAAGCTTGCTAAGCACACAGTGGATACTTGTTTGTTATGTCAGGCAAATGGACCAAACAGTCACCAAGAACCACTGCGAATGACGACGCTGCCTCCCCAACCCTGGCATACAGTGAACATTGATTTTTGTGGACCATTTCTAGGTGGTTCATATCTGTTAGTGATTATTGATGCATATTCACGATTTCCAGAGGTGGAAATTGTAAGTTCAACATCTGCAAAATCAACAATATTGAAACTTGAACGAATTTTTGCCACACATGGTATTCCAAAGGTGTTAAAGAGTGATAACGGTCCACCATTCCAGAGCCATGAATTTAGTCTGTACTTGAAAGAACTCGGCATTAAACATAAACCAAGCTCACCATTATGGCCCCAAGGAAATGGACATTCCGAGAACTTTATGAAACCACTTGTAAAGGCTGTGAAATCTGCCCATCATGAAAACAAAGATTGGAAACGTGAAATGTTTAAATTTTTGCTCAAGTACAGAGCTACCCCACATTCCACCACTGGCAAGGCACCGTCCGAGTTGCTATACAACCGTAAGATTCAAACAAAATTACCTCAAGTGACAGTCGAAAATGATTCTTCACTTCATCAAGAGGTGAAGGAGAGAGATGAAAGGTTGAAAAAGAACCAAAAAGAATATGCTGATTCCAAAAGAAGAGTTAAGTGTGCTGACATCAAGAAAAGCGATTTAGTTTTGGTGCGGCAACCGAAATCAAATAAAATGTCCACAAAATACGATCCAATACCATATGAAGTCACAAATCGCCGTGGGAACAGGATCACAGCAATTAGGAATGGGAAATATATAACTCGGAACATTTCGTTCTTTAAAAAGTATCACCCCAGACATGGCAGATCGTTGGAGTCAACAGAGATAATGGATGAAGAAAATTATTCCTCAGATGAAGATGTCCACGAAGAGCATGAACAGTATGATGGACTGAGACAGAATGATCGTCCGCGGCAGTACAATGGTCACAGACAAGATGATGGTCCGAGATATCCGGCAAGAGAAATACAGCGGGTGTACAGATATGGAAATAACATTTATGATTGACCTGGACTAAAACAGATAAGATACAGTTTAAACATTATATGCATATTTTGTTATAGTTAGTACAAGAGCTCATATTTAAATCAAGGGAGGGATGCAATGTTGACATTACTGACACTAGCACACACGTGACTAGAAAGTTAGTTAAGTATTTTTAGAAGCACGAGGCTAGGGAACCGGGAAGTAATTGGATACGTACTATGCTGTTTGTACAAGTTGTTTGATATCTATTGTTATACTTAAAAGTGCTTGATATTGATACAAAACCACGAACATTACAATGCATACTTTTTGCCTCAAGTTAACTCAACATTCGAAGGGTACAATTTTCGCCAAGCAAAACAACAACACGGAGAAAATGTTGACGCATATAATACCCGGCTGAGACAACTCGCCCAAACCTGCGATTTTACCGACGTCGATAAAGAAGTAAAATCACAAATAATTATTGGGTGTTTGTCACAACGTTTAAGACGACAAGCTTTGCGTGACAATCCAACTGTCAAAGATCTACTAGCCGCGGGAAGAGCACAAGAGCGAAGCGAAGCACAAGCCGAAGCCGTAGAAAAAGGCGTGTCACCCGTAAATTCCATCAAACACGAGCAAAGCCAAAGAGACACGAGAAACAGAAAAAATCACGGAAAATATCAACAATCGAAGTCCAGATACTTTGGGAACGCTGGAAATCAACAAACACCCCCCGGAAATCGACAATTTCCCACCAGAAATCAACAAATACCCCCGGGAAATCAACAAATACCTACTCAACAATGTCGCAATTGTGGTGGAATTTTTCCACATAACGGTGACTGTCCTGCAAAAGGTAAAGAATGTCGAGCATGTGGGAAAAGCGGTCATTTTGCCAAGGTTTGCAGATCAAAACCCAAACGACGCGAAATCCACCAAGTATCGGAAACCCCATCAGAGGAACCCCAATATCTATTCACCTTGCAGAATAACCATCAGCACAATACGTCACCACTCTGTGAAGTTTACATAGCTAACGAAGCAGTCCAAACCATCATCGACTCGGGTGCCTCTGTCAATGTTATCGATGAATCCACTTACGAAAAGATTCGAAAGAGCAACAAAAACGCAGTGCTCACCACACCCCGATCCAAGATATTCACATATGGCTCAAATATGGAACTGCCACTCTTAGGTATGTCTACAGCAGAAATTCGTTTCCAGTCTAACACCGTCAACGCAACCTTCTATGTCACAAAGGGACAAAATGGTAATCTCTTGAGCTGCAACACTGCCGAAAGTTTAGGAATTCTAAAGATAACGGTAAACACTGTTTTAGATACCCCCAACACACCTCCCGAGCAAAATTTTCCAGACTTGTTCTATGGAATTGGCAAGATAAAGGACGAGACAATCAAGTTGCATATTGATCCCGAGATTGAACCTAAGCAACAGTCCCACCGCCGCATTCCATTTCATATTAGAAAAGATCTTGGAAAAGAACTTCAACGCTTAGAAGATCTCGATGTTATCGAAAGGGTCGAGGGGCCCACCCCCTGGGTCAGTCCCATCGTCGTAGTCCCAAAGAAAACAGGAGAAATTTGCCTCTGTGTTGACATGCGAGAGGCAAACAAAGCTGTGAAAAGAGAAAAGCACCTTATGCCAACACTTGATGAATTCATCACTGATCTAAATGGTGCAACTGTATTCAGCACCCTAGACCTGACATCCGGATACCATCAACTCGAGCTCGAACCCGAAAGCAGGCACATTACAACATTTTCCACACATGTCGGTCTTCGACGATATAAATGACTCATGCATATGTTCGGAATAAATGCTGCATCAGAAATACTCCAAAATTCAATTGCTGAGCTTTTAACTGGCCTACCGGGATGCAAGAACATTTCCGATGACATCATTGTTTATGGTCGTGACGTCAGAGAACACGATGAAAATCTGAACCGTGTTTTAACCCGTCTACGAGAATACAACGCCCGCCTCAACCCAACGAAATGCACCTTCCGTAAGTCAGAAGTGATCTTCTACGGACATTCCTTCAGCGCGAAAGGGATCAAAGCTGCACCTCAGAATATCAATGCTATCAAAACCATGCAACCTCCAGAAAATCCAAGTGAAGTGAAGTCCCTTCTTGGTATGGCACAGTACGTTTCACGCTTCATCCCGAATTATGCCACCATTACTGCCCCTTTACGTGCCTTAACCCATCAGAATTCCGTGTGGAAATGGGAGATAGAAGAAGTAACCGCTTTTCGAAAGCTACAGAATGAGCTAACTAGTGTCCGAGTCATGGTTTATTTTGACCCAACGAAGTCCACCAAAGTACTCGTTGACGCAAGCCCGACGGGTCTAGGAGCTATTCTAATGCAAGATGATAAAGTCATCAGCTACGGAAGCCGTGCGCTGACTGATGTTGAAAGTCGCTACTCCCAAACAGAACGAGAGATGCTTGCAGTCGTCTAGGCAACTGAGCATTATCATCTCTATCTATACGGTGCGAAGTTCACACTAATAACTTATCATAAACCTCTTCTAGGAATATTCAAGAGCCACAGGCCTACCTCTCCTAGAATCGACCGTTGGAAGCTGAGACAACGCAAACGTTTCGTTTTTCAAAAAAATTAAAGCTACCTTCATCCAGGAAGATGCGACAGTCGATGAATCCGATGATCCAATCCCACAGTCCCAACACAACTTAAAGCAACAAGTTGCACCACCACCTCCCAGAAGATCTCAACGGAACAGACAACCTCCCAACAGACTGAGATATTAATAAACGTCATAAACGGACACGTTAATCTAAGTGTCATAAAAAAAGACACACTTGCTATGTTGAAATTTAAAAGTTTTGTTTAGAGTATTCGAACTCGTATTACATAAAGAACAGTCTATCGAAATAGACAAATACTAAGAGGACTTTATAGTAAAGTGGGGAGAGATGTAGTATCCAACCCAATTAATATAAGTTAATATTATACTGTACACTAGTGTTTACTAACTTCCGCTTTGTAATTTTATAATGTATTCTATTCTCATAATATACAAGTTAGGGACGGACCATTAGAAAAGTGATGGGGAGGGTGGGGAAAAAACAGAAAAAAATCCATGCAAACAAAAAAGGTTTGAAAAAAAATACATGCAAACAGACTTGTTTAAAAAAAAATTACAAACAGAACAACAATAGAACTTTAATTTTAAATGTACATCAGACAAAATTGATCTAAATCTTTGGAATGTTTCAGAATATAAATATATCAAAATATATAATATATTAATATGCAATTTCTTTCAATATTAACAGTAACTCTTATGTAGTTTTATTATATACTATCAAAATATTTTCTATTGTATTTAATATTTAATTCTCATTCACACTGCCACTGTCCTCAGTGGCGTAACTACTATGGGCTCGGACTGGGAGAATCCGGGGGCCCCCAACCCCAATGGGCCCGCAAATGGGGGGCCCCAGGCTCAGGCTATAGAGCAAAAACATTGGCCAAGGGCCTCTGATATGTTACAATGGCGTTTTCTGACCATCAGAATTCTGTAAAATCTCTCCCCAAAGTCCGGGAAATGGTATTTCAGAGAATTTAGATTAAAAAATTTTCGGGGTGAGCAAGCTCTGGACCCCTAGAAAACTTGTCCATATATGGCGCTTAAAGATATAATTTTGCAGTGTGTATTAAAGGGATATTTTTTTGTCAAGAGAACAGTTTCGTTAACATTTGTATAGTTGTATTGGAAAAAAAATTGCATGCGAGAAGACATGTTTAAAAAAAACATGCATACACAGCTGACAACCTGGAAAAAAAATGCAAACAAAAAAATTCCCCCCCCCCCCATCACTTTTCTAATGGTCCGTCCCTTATACAACACACCAAACCAGGCGGCTATACTCTTGTGTTTATCCGATATTTACCGCGATACACTACAATAGGTAAATGGGGAAAAGGTTGGTGTTGCATTAACTGACGACACGAAGTGTTCTGGGTTTCGAAGGTGGTTGTAGTTTAAAGGGTTTGGTGCATACCTTGCTTGCGTACTTCGTCGTGTTGGTGGGGCAGGTAGGGGTTCGGTTGCAGGTTATATTGCTTCTTCATTTTGTTGCTCTTCCAGCTGCGTGTTCCGGTTAGGCTCCTGAGTGTTCTCTGCAGCTTGGTTTTGCGCTATATCGTCTGCTGGATCCGCCGTATCAGGTTTACTTCGATCCACCGCTTCGTTTCCTTGTAATGAATCATTTTCAAAATTTCTCTGTTCAGGTAATATTTGAATCAAAATCTCCGAGTCATCACTATCACTTTCACACTGTTCTGCTGTTCCGTGTGCAGTTTCAATTGGGCCTTTACCCTTCTTTTGAACGGATTTTGGACTTGTTTTTTGTTGTGGTTCCGGTGTGAGTGGTAGGAAATCGCACTGCAACAAAAGATTCCGATGAAGTAATCGTTTCCTTCCGTCTTTCGCTTCTGGTTTCACTTCATACACGGGACTGTCCGGCATGCAATTTACGACAATGTGAATGTCTTTCTCCCAGTGCGATCGCAACTTCCCAGGACCACCCCGTTCACTTAAATTCCTTACTAGTACACGATCACAAGGCTTTAACGTAGAATATCTCGCACCTTTATCATAATGTCTCTTTCCTTTTGAACTGTTTTTAGTAGCATGTTCGCTGGCGAAAGTATAAGCGTCATTCATTGCACTAGACCACTTTTTCACATAATCTATGTGGTTGAGTCTGTCTTCAACTTTGTTACATCTGGCAGTGTCTTTAGCATGAACAAAAGCGTTCTATTGAATCTTTCTGCTTTACCGTTGCCTTGTGGGTGATACGGTGTTGTTCTCGATCGAATTATCCCAGACGATTTTTCTAATTGATGAAATAATTTATTCTCGAACTCCCGCCCCTGATCATGTAGAATCCGGCTTGGAAATCCGTATTTAAGAATAAAATCGTTGTACAGTTTTTCTGGGGCGGTTCGCGCTTCTTTGTTCTTGGTTGGATACACTTGTGCGAAACGAGTAAAGTGGTCGACTATTACGAGAATGTATTCGTACCCGCCAGTGCTTCGTTCAAGGTGTAGGAAATCCATTGAGACGAGTTCAAGTGGCGCATAAGTAGTTATATTTTGCAATGGGGCACGTGTTTTCTTCGCTGGACCTCGTTGTTTCACACAGCTACATTCCTTGGTTACAAAGTGCGTAATGTTCCTTTGCATGTGTGGCCAAAAGAACCTTTCCCTTCCAAGCTCAACTACTCCTTCAGCTCCCAGGTGACCCATATTCTGATGAAGCTCTTTGTAAACTGTCATACGATAACATTATGGCAGCACCAATTGCATCACTGGTCCTCGTTTTCTCCTCAATATTCCGTCAGTTCCTATTACTAATCTTTTCCATTCTCTCAGCAAAGTTTTAGCCTCTGGTGTTAGACTCTATCTATCTCTTCCTCTGTTGGGTATGTGTTCTTTGCCTTTAACGTGCGGATTTTCCCGATGCACAGATCGCTGTCTTGAGCTCGCATAAATTCGTTAGGGTCCAATTTTTGTAGTGCACTTAATTCGGGTATTAATTCGCTTGTGTTCAGTACCTCGGGATTTGCTGTGATCGCAGTAATCCACGGTTCTTGTGCCCGAATTCCAATCATACACGCTTGTAAGCTGTCTTGCGAGGTTTCTTTGGTGCACAATTTCATATATTCATCTATGTCCATCGGCATTCTCGATAAGGCATCTGCGTCCTTGTTTGCTGCTCCAGGTCTATATTTGATGGTAAAGTTGTAATCCGCTAATTCTGCGACCCAACGGTGCCCTGTTGCATTTAATTTCGCAGACGTTAACACGTATGTCAATGGATTATTGTCCGTAAATATTGTGAACGACTTGGCATAGTATAAATAATCGCGAAACTGTTCGCACACTGCCCATTTTAGTGCTAAAAATTCGAGTTTTCCCGAATGTAGGTAATAGTTTTTCTCAGCAGGGGTCAGACTTCGTGAACCATAACCGATGACGCGCATTTCACTATTCTATTCTTGGTACAATACTGCACCGAGTCCTTCCTGAGATGCGTCCGTATGTAAAACAAATGGTTCGTTGTAGTCTGGATATGCTAAAATTGGGGCAGTCGTAATCCGCGTCACTAATTGGTCTAAAATTGAACTATGTTCGTCCGTCCATGAGACACTTTGGGAAGATGGTACTAGGGGTGTTTTCGACTTGTTACTCGGTTCATTTGATCGTTGGAGAAGGTCGAATAAGGGTTTTGCAACTCGAGAAAAATCCTGAATGTATCTTCTGTAGTAGCCTAACAATCCTAATAAATGTCGAACTTCTCCAACCGTTTTGGGTTGTTTATTCTTTAATGATAGAACCGCTTGTACCTGAGTTGGATCCATTTTATATATGTATTCTGAAACAACTCGACCAAGACAATGAACTTCTCGACGAAACAAGTTACACCATGGTCTCGAAGACGCCTTATAACAGTTCTTAGGTGTTCAACGTGTTCGTTGAAAGTCTTGCTAAAAACTATTACGTCATCTAAATAAGGTAAACATATTTCGTCTCGAAGTCCCTCCAGACATGACTCCATAAATCGTTGGAATTCTGCAGGGGATTTTTTAAACCAAAAGGGATTCTTACCCACTCAAAGAGGCCCCATGGGGTTATAAAGGCTGTCTTATGTTGATCCGCAGTCTCTATAAACCCTTGATGGTAAGCTTTCCCCTGAACTAAAAGGGAAAACCACGAGTTTCCGCCGATATTCTCGAGTGTTGTTTGGACTTTGGGTAAGGGGTGACGATCCACAATAGTCCGTCTGTTGAGTTCTCTATAATCAACGCACAAACGTAAAGTACCGTCCTTTTTCCTAACACAAACGACAGGTGATGAATAAGCTGATTTAGATTTATGTATAAATTTCCGATTTTAAAGATCCTCAATATATTGTTTTACCTCTGGATATAAGGGCTTTGGTATTGAATTATAGTTCTTTTGAACTGGGATGTTATCTGTTAAATTGATCTTCATTTTAAGTTCTTCACTACAACCGATATCTTCATCATCTCGAGAGAAACAATCGGACTCTTCGAGAAGCATTTGTTGAGCAACTAATTTTTGTTTCTCAGTCAGACCATTTAAATCAACTTCAGGTATCCAATCACCGTAAAAGGTCTTTGGGGTATTCGTGTTCAACTTATCATCATTTACCGACACTCCATTAACTTGTGCTTCTTTATCACACTTTTCCCTAACTTCAACAGGTGTAACAGATTTTACTAATTGCAATCGTCCAAGTATAGTTCTTTTTGGAAGCAAAATATCATGATCGGTGGAATTTCTCGCTTGAATAACCACTCGGGAGGAGAACCCACTATTTATGTTTGTCAGTGTCTCTTCGATTTCAAGACATGTGGGCCATGGTTGTTCAGGGTCTGACTCAAACAGAACTGGGAGCTTACTTGCTGCATTCGACCGTGTGTTCGCTCTACAAGTAACACTCACTGTCTTGCCTTGAGGAATCAACACATCATGCTTTATAGATTTAACCAAACACAGTTCACTACATTCATTTGTTTTTATAAGTTCAACAAGAGTTTTAATGTTTTTGGAATCAACTGTGGGAAAACTTGCTGTCATCGATGAAATAATCTTATTTGTCTTGTCAACTGGGTTTTTGACTCGTTCTCTATAACATTATATCCGATGATAGGGTGATCAAGATGATCAGACGCTACCAAAAGAGGCACTAAAACCTCTTCTCCAATTTGTGAGTTCAATAATTTAAGTCTCACCTCTATAAAACCTTTGTATGGGATAGACAAACCATTTGCTGCTTTGAGATCTAAATTGTTCTCTAGTAAATCTTCAATCGGATTAATCTTGACATCAAGAAAGTTTTTCATTACCCATTCATGCGAGGCTATTGAAACCTGAGCACCCGTATCCCACAATGCCTCAACTGGTACATCTTCAACTAAACACTTTACTAAACATCGATTACCAACTAGTTTAATCACATTGTTTTGCTGTGCTGGTGTAAGGTGGCTTACATATTGTCCCTTTTCTAACCACTCTTTCTCCTCTTTTGCATCTTTTATAACCATATTTACTATTGCATCACAGAAAGATCGGTGGTTTTTCCAATGGCACCTTTTGGAACAATAACAAACTGTTTTACACCGAGAACATC